CCCCCCCCTCCCCCGATTCCCGCCTCTCGCAGACGACGACCCTTCGATCAGGCGCAAGGGAAGAGGTTTCAACCCTCGAGGTGCTGCAGGCGACGATTCCAACATCAAGCGAAGGGGTGGATTCGAAAGCCTTGCGGGTGAAGATTCGTCAGATCGTGCAGCCAGGTGTGAGTGCGGCGCTTCTTCGCGTTTGTTCGGCCAAAGGAAAAAAGGGGAGGCGCAAAGCAAGCAAGCAAGCAAGCAGGAATCTTTGGCCGGCCCGTCGATCTTGGGCTTGTTCCCTACCTTCGCATCCATCGCATCGCCTTTGCTTAGCCTCTCTCTCTCCTCTCCTCTCCTCTCCTCTCCTCTCCTCTCCTCTCCTCTCCTCTCCTCTCCTCTCTTCTCCGCTCTTTCTCGACGCCAGCCATCGAAGGCTGGATCGTGCTCGTGACGGGTGTGCACGAAGAGGCGACAGAGGAAGAGGTGCAGGACAAGTTTGCGGATTATGGAGAGATTAAGAATCTGCATCTCAACTTGGATCGTCGTACAGGTTACGTCAAGGTGAGCAGGCAGGAGCAAGCGCCCTTGTGAAGTCAAGCGAGATCCGTGAAGGCGGCGCAAAACGGGGGCAAAAAGGATGAGGCGCACCTTTGCTGGGCTCGGCTAGCATCTGTGTGGCGTTTTTGAGTCTAAGCAACGCTGCGAGTCATCGTGCTGACACCAACATCGCTCGCTCGCTCGCTCGCTCGCTTATCCCCACCCCGCGCAAAGGGCTACGCGCTGATAGAGTACGAGACGCAGTCCGAGGCCAAGGCAGCCATTCAAGCCTGTCAAGATGGTCTAAGCCTTATGGAAGAATCGCTCTCTGCCGATTTCGCATTCGTAAGACCGCCCGCCGCTTCGCATGGCGGCGGCGGCGGCAGGAACATTGCCGGTTCTGCCATCAAGGGTGCTGGTAGGGATAGGGAGAGGAGAGGAGATGGAAGGAATGCGGCGAGGGAAGCGCCGGGCGGAGCTGGAAGACTGATGGATCGCATCGCCAGGAGCAAGAGTCCGGAACGTAGACGATGAGCAGCAGCAGGGAGTTCAGTCAGCGCGCGCACAATCGGACCAAGTTCGTTGGTCAATCCGACAAAAATCGCTCATAGATGCGTCTTTGCATCGACAACACGACGAATGGGATGCATTGCAAGCTGTAGTGACCACGAGGCTGATGAGCATCTTGAAGCGAGTACACTCAGGCCTGACTGAGAGGTCACGCATCACGAATCACGTCGCTGTGCTCCACGACTTGCTTCCACCTTTGCAAAAATTGCACCGTCTTGCCAGCAGATTCCATGCCGACATCGGTGTGCGCATGCTGATCCAGAGTGGCCCAGAGCAAGCTCAGTGCATCTCGCGCATCGTGCCTGGTTTGTATCCACCTCACATATTCCGACTTGCTCCAGCCCCTCTGTTCGTTCGGAAAAGGGAACCACTCGTTTGAGAGCTGCACACCCGCCTCGGATGATGCTGCCTCCTTTTCTTCCTTTTTGTTGCTCGCGGTGGACGAGAAGGAGACGGCGGCGGCGGCGGCGGCGGCAGCAGTTTTGGAACGAACGGGATTGCTCGTGCGAATAATGTGATGCGCGACTACGAGCGGAGAGAGACCGCTGGTAGAAGGTAAAAGGTCCTTGTCCGCCAGCCCATCCAGATCCTTGAACAGCAAAGGTCTGAATGATCTCAGCGCTCGAAAAGGTGCGCCGCAATCCGCCAGCGTCAAAGTCTGCTGCTGCGCAGACTGTGACACTCCTGTGCTCATAATTGCAGAGGAAGCACGCCGCGGTGATGCTTGCAACATCTGCGAAGTAGCAAACTCCAGCTCGGTCGTGTCGCTGGACAGCTTCAGCGCCCCAGATTCGCCAAGAGGTCGAACGAGGCTAGCATGCAGCACAAACGTATCCAGCGCATGAATAGCCAGCTCCAGCGTTCTGCGAGCGCACCAAGACGGAGAAAAGCTCGTCTCATTAGCTTGCTGCTGCAGAAAGGCAAGGGGTGCCTCGAACCGGAATCACAGTGCGCGCGCATACTCACATTCGACTCCTCGTCTCGTCTTCATACTTGAGCGCGAGCATCTCGCGAACGTACCAAAGTCGATCGCTCACTTCTGCCATATAGACGCTTCCCGCGCCCGTTGCTACACCCGCCGCAGCACCCGGACCACCGGAAGGGGCTGCACCTCCTTTGGCAAAGTCGACATTGTGCATCCTCGCAAAGGTCACTGTCAATTCCTTCTTCGTGGATTGCAGCAGAGGATCTAAAAGTTCGTCCTGAAGCAGTCGGGACGCGCGCTGCGTAGTTGATGCGAAGGGCGAGCAAGCCGTCAGTCGGTGAGCTACTCTTTCGCTGCTCGGTGGTCAAGTCGCACGTCACACGGCGCACCTGTTCGAGCCGGCCAACAAGACCGCGCACCGCAGATGGACTCTCAGCGTTCACGGCACGCAAGCCCCTAGCTAGGCCCGTAAGCCCATTAGCAAGGTCCGCATTCCCAAATTGGCTAGGTGTCGTCTCGTTCGCCGCGAGCGTGTACGCCGAAGCATCTTTAGCAACCTGCACAAGGATTCCCGGACGTTGACGTGATGAGTCGGGCATCACACATGGCTACCAGGCCTCAAAACTCACACTCTTCTCGAGCTTTTCCAGCGCGTCCAGCGTGCACTTTTCCACGGCAGCAGCGACTGCCCTGAGAAGGAGCGGGTCAAAGCGAGCGCCGTCCAGTTCGTTGCTGATAGTCCTGGCCAACCTTTCTCCATCCGCCAGCGCGGCGTTTGTAGTCCTGCTCGAGCCCGCTGCGCGGCTCTTGCTCGTCGCCAGAGCGGCGACAGAGTCGGTCAGACGCGCATGCACGCGCTGCACGTAAGTTGTTTCGAGGTGCAATGCGCTCCGAAGGACCACGACAGTCTCGGGACTGCGCGGAGAGAAAGGAAGTTGCACTTTCGACATCAGTTGCGCTGCCGTCCCATTGACCCTCGCGCAGCTTCTCACCTCTGATGGTCATCGGTATAATTGAGCTCGGTCACGTTGGACACGCGCTGGAAGAAATCCTGAAAGAGGCGCACCAGTCGAGGGTAAGAAGCGACCAGCTGTTCGGCAAGAAAAGGCGATGCTAGGCAAACAAAGACGCTCGAAGGTGAGCTACCGTCTCGAGCAGGCATCATTTGTCTAGTCGACCTGCTCACCCTTGATAGCTTCTTGACTCTGCATTTCAAACGACTGGGCGAAAGTCGTCCAGAACATGAAGCTGGGCTTATCTCCGAGCGTCTGCAACAGAGCGTCAAGCGCAGCGGCAAAGTCAGAGCCCACGCGACTCAGCCCAATCTTGCGACCGTCTGTCACACAAGCGACTCACCTCCAACGTTTCCTCCAAGTACCCTCTGCCGCTGTCTTCATCCCTCTTGAGCCTTAGAACGCCTTCGAGCGCATACACCTTGGAACAGACCGCGCTCATCTCGCTGATGAGCAGCACACTCAATTTTTGCCAAAATGTGGTGCTCCACGCATGTTGCTGCGGCGTCAGAGCACCGTCCATTACTGCGCTAGATGCGCCGGGACGGGACGAGTGGCGAGATTTGTAGGAAGTGTATTGCGATGTCGAGGGTTCTGCGATGCGATCCGCAAAGCAAAGGTGTCAGGGCGTCAGGTGCGCTCACTCCTACGCAAAGCCACACTTGCCCGTGCTACTCACCACGTACTCCCGTCTCCTTTGCGAGCGCTTGAGGATCAAGAGCAGCCTTGACTCGACTCTTGATGACCTCTCTCAGATCGCCCATCAGATCCCTGACCAGAAATCTTAGGCTTCCCAGGTTGAAAGCAGTGGTGAGGGATATGCTGAGCAGTGCAGGGTTCAAGTCTCTCAAGCCCAGCACCACCGTCGATTCCATCGCGTCGGTAATGTAATCCTTGTGGGCGTCGAGCGTGGGAATGTACGAGGCGACAAAGTGCAGAGAGGTGAGGGGCAGCTTGGAGCTCGATTGCGACTTGTCGATGGCGATGGAGCGACGAGACGACAATGAAGCATCGCTATCAGAGTCTGACCCTGAGTCCGAGGTGTTTTCCGACTCGTCTGAAGCGGGAGATGCAGAGCGGTGATCTGTACCCCCCTCTTGCCCAGCCGACGTGGCCAAGAGAGCGGCTGAGCACGTCCAGGCGCAATGTCAGCAATGCAGAGCGTGCCAACCCCTCCCTCCCTCCCTTCCTCGCCCTTCGCTTCCACTCACACAGCTGACCAACGCATTTGGCAGCTCTGGCCAGTGCTCTTCCCCTGCGTTCCTGATCGTACTCTGCATTGGCATCCTCCTTCTGCAGACCATCGATCAGCCCTGCCAGCCTGTTGGCGATGCTTACGAATTTGGCTGCTCTGTCTACGAGGACTTGAGCTTGGCGCACTTTCATAAGGCGCCTTCTGGATCGTTTGAGGGACTGATAGGGCTGTGAGATGCGATTGGAGAGCGTGACTAGAAGATGATCGAGCGTCGCGAGCGTCGTCTTGGCGTTCGATAGAGGAGCAGAGAGGGAGAGGATGCTGTGAGAGTGTTGCAGCAGCAACGTGGAGTGCATCGATACCTGTGCGCGGGGGAGAGAGGAGGGAGGGGGGAGAAGCGGATGATGGTATGAGTGCATGGGCAACGGGTTGGGGTAGAGCGATGCCTGCCCTGCGAGCGCACTCACCTCATCCTTGATCATGCGATCCACGTCGTCGATGGCGAGATTGAGTCTGCTCAGTGCCATGCTCACGTCTCCCTGCACATCCTTGGCCGCAGTGGCCGCGATAGGGGCGGTAGGAGTGGCAGGGGTGACAGGGGTGACAGGGTTGGCAGCAGCAGCAGCAGCGGCGGCAGCACTGCGCAGTGTACTGGTGCTTGGCAGAGGGGCGAAGGATCTGCTTGGACTCCAACGAGGTGTGGCCTCCTGCGCTGAGGCTGATGCTGATGCTGATGCTGATGCTGATGCTGATTGGCTCCTGCTGCCGCTTGAGGATTGCGCTACAGCGAGGTGCGGCTGAGGCTGAGCGTGGCCTTCGATGATGCCATTCGCGTACGCTTGCGGATCGAAGGAAGGCAGCAAAAAGGATGAAATGTCTGTTTGGCGCGCGCGCGGGGGCCGGCGTGCCCGGGTAGACGATGTCAGCTAGCTAGCGAGCGAGCGAGCGAGATTGCCTGTACGCTGCATCCTACTCCCACTCCCACTCCCACTCCCACTCACCCACGCCGTCCCTCTGCGCTGCCACGATGGACGCCATCTGCGAAGGCGTGTGCGATGCACTCAGACTGCTCGAAGCAGAAGCAGAAGCAGAAGCAGAAGCAGCAGCAGGAGCAGAAGCAGCAGCAGGAGCAGACTCTAAAGCATCCTGCACGGGCCCATTGCCAGCAGCGATGGACAAGCCCTTTTGTGCGGCCAAGGTGCGAAGCTGATGCAACAGCTGCTCATCCCTCCACTCCGATTCCCATTCCAACTCCATCCCCTCGCCCATACCGGCACTGTCGCTTGGCACGCGATTCGCCAAAAGGTGGGATGTGCTGCTGGCTGGCTTGCTGGCTGGCTGGCTGGCTGGCTGGCTGGCTTGTTGCTCCGTCGCACACGAGTGCGCGCGTAGTGATTGTAGAGCTGAGCTGAGCTGAGGTCGCGTGCCGAGTGGAAGGGAAGGCAAGGCAAGGCAAGGCAAGGCAAGGCAAGGGATGATGTTGATCAGAAAGCGCGCGGACAGGACAGGCGTGATGTGATGCATCAAGAAAGAGTCACGAGGGAGACGGCGAGTATAGACCTTCGTAGCGGAGGGCTTGTATATACGTGTGACTTGCGTTGCTTGCCTGCAAGGTCTGTGCACGGCGCGCCGGAGGGGTGGGGGGGCTGTTATCACCACTGCGCACGTGACACACAATCACGCACGAGCCAGGCAGGCAGGCAGGCAGGCGGGCGGGCGGGCAGACAGGCAGGCCACAAGAAAGTCATGAGTGACGCGTCTATGGTGATGCGAGTGACTCGTGACTCGTGACTATCGACTCGCTGCAGCAAGCGTGTCGCAAGGCTTGCATACATCCTAGCTTCTCCTCCTCCTCCTCCTCCTCCTCCTCCTCCTCGCCCACCCCTCCACCATCACCTTATTTCTCTATCCTTGCCCCTATCCGCCTCTTCTCTCGCCAAGCCCTTGCTCATCTCGTCGCGCAGCGTCTCATAGCTCCAACTTTGAAACAGGCACTTCGCCACACACACACACACACACGAAAGCTTGAGAGATGAGCGCAGGTGCAGGAGAAGGAGCTTACAGCTTCTCCCTCACCACCTTTTCCCCAAGCGGTAAATTGGTACAGATCGAGCATGCTCTGGCTGCAGTATCTGCCGGTGCCACCTCGTTGGGCATCAAGGGTGAGCAGCATTGGCAAGTCCCGGGCACGTGATGCGGGCACAAAAAAGGGGGAGCATACATTGCATTGCCAGCCAGCGTCTGCTCTTCTTCCACACTCCGCAGTCGCGACCCCTTGTCTGGGAACGAAAGCTGACTTCATTCCCCGCACACCCTCTTTGCCTCGCACTCTGCCCCCCGCTCCCGCTCGCAGCATCCGGAGCCATCGTGATCGCTTCGGAAAAGCGACCTCCCTCTCTGTTGGTGGATGATGGCGCATTGGAAAAGATTGCGCTCATTTGTCCCAACATTGGCATGGTGTACAGCGGTATGGGACCGGATTTCAGAGTGTTGGTCAGCAAAGCCAGAAAGAGCGCTCAGGCTTATTGGAAGATTTATGGAGAGTATCCGCCTACGAGGGTATTGGTGCAGGAGCTGGCTAGCGTCATGCAGGAAGCCACTCAGTCTGGGTGAGTAGGAATCGAGGTTGGGGTGCTCCTCTTGGCTATTTTCCCCGAATGAGACGCGAAGTGCTCAAAGGCTCACTGTGCTACTCGCTGGCGTCTTGCAGTGGTGTGAGACCCTTTGGTGTATCCCTCTTGGTGGCTGGATTTGATGGTGCAAGGGGTCCATCGCTCTACCAAGTAGATCCCAGCGGCTCCTACTTTCTGTGGAAAGCCAGCGCGATCGGCAAGAATCAGACCAATGCAAAGACGTTCTTGGAAAAGAGGTGAGCGTCGCAGTGAGGGTGACGTGCTCGGCCATCGCGCGGAGTGGACTGTCAGGTGCGAGGGTGTGAGCTGCTGCTCGACGCTCACGCACCACCATCTTGCTCGCGCACAGGTACAACTCGGAGATCTCGCTGGAGGATGCGATCCACACGGCTCTGCTGACGCTCAAAGAGGGCTACGAAGGTCAAATGACGGAAAAGACAATCGAGATTGGCATTGTTGGAGAGAGCACGGCAAAGGCTGTGGGCGGGGATGGCAAGGTGATGCCCGTGTTTAAGAAATTGACAGAGGCAGAGATCAAGGATTAGTGAGTTTGCGATCGCATCTTCATTACTCTTTGCTGCGAATGGGGAGGG